TTATTCTGTGTTTCCGTGCTGCTGTTGCTCTGTGATTTTTTGATCCTGCGATTCTGTGAGAACCAATTCCAAAGGAGAAAACCCTTCGTGTTCGTTACCCGCGGCTCCCCGCCCCACCTCCCGTGCCATCCCCGTGTTCCTGCCCCAGCCAGCTCCTGGCACCACATCCTTCTCCTCGGACACACGGACACGGACACACGGACACGGACACGGACAGGAGGGCACGCGGATACACGGACACACGGACACATGGGCACACGGACACGGACACACAGACACACACACACACGGACACACACACACACGGACACACGGACAGATGGACACACACACACACCCACACACACACAGACACACACACACAGACACACACAGACACACACACACACACACACACACACGGACACGCGGACACACAGACACACACAGACACACACACACACAGACACACAGACACACACACACACAGACACACACACACACACACACACACACACACACACACAGACACACACACACACGGACACACGGACACAGGAGGCACAGGGCTCGGAGGTCAGCCCCTCTCCTCCCAGCCCCTCTCTTCTCCCTGCCCACAGGACGAGCGCGGCCCCTGCGCCCGCGCCATCGAGCAGCTCCACCGCGCCAACCTGCTCCGCCACCTGCGCAGGGCGGAGGAGCACGCCCAGCTGGTGGCCCAGGCCGTGGCCGAGCTGGCCACCGTGCCCTACCTGCAGAGACTCTCCCGGCACGATGACCAGCTGGTACGTTTGCATTCCCAACGCTTGCTCTGCTTTCTTCAGGCTGAGAGGCCACGGCGGGGAAGGGCCACTGAAGTTCTGTACGTCCACCCGGGTGGGAAATGGATCCGTAGAGAGGGCTTAAAGCTTGATGGAAGGTTTACATCAAAAAAAAACAGAATAAAAGCTCTTAAAACATCTCGCAGTTACCCCATCTCGGGGTTAGAAAAGAGCTTTATCCCACACGCGCTGTGCTCTGAAGGCCTTTGTCCAGTGTGGGGGTCTAGAAGAGTTCTCAAATCCTCCTTCAGTGTTTGATAGAGCTGATCACCCGCAAGGATGACTGAGAGAACCACCAGGACTCACCTGTCAGTATCTACTGAAAATCCCTTCTCTGCCCCCAAAACCTCCCCAAATCGGTCTGGAAAAAAAAATTATTGCAGTGATTTTTCAGCTCTTGCTGCTTTGACATCTCTGACCTGCAGCAAAACAGCCTGAATCAGTGAATGGCTGAGGAGGACAGGAGCAAAGGAGGGAAAACTTGATTTTCTGTACCACCACCAGTGGGAAATCAGCCTGAATCAGTGAATGGCTGAGGAGGACAGGAGCAAAGGAGGGAAAACTTGATTTTCTGTCCTGGGTCCCACCACCAGTGGGAAATCAGCCTGAATCAGTGGATGGCTGAGGAGGACAGGAGGAAAACTTGATTTTCTGTCCTGGGTCCCACCACCAGTGGGAAATCAGCCTGAATCAGTGTATGGCTGAGAAGGACAGGAGGAAAACTTGATTTTCTGTACCACCACCCGCTCCCGGTGTCAGAACAAGCCCTGCTGCTCCTGCTCACCTGTCAGACCTGCTGCAGGGGGGCCCCAGGTCGGTGAAGGATTCCTGGGGCTGTTGAGAAAAGAGCAGGGGGGAACATCTCCTCTTGCTGTGCCTCAGTGCACAGAGGGTGTCCGTCCTCCTCCTCTCAAGGGACACCTTTGGGTGAGCCTTGAGCACAGCCCAGGACTCTTCACACCTGTAGTGCTGGTCGATCTCAATTCCTCGTCACAAAATACTCGTGAAGAGACTCCAAAAAAACTTCTGTTTGTGCTCTCTTTAACTTAACCCAACATTTTGGAAGGGATTTTTTTTTTAAAGTGCAGCAATAAGCGCAGGTCTCAAGCACCAGTTTTCCCCGTTTTGTTCCTCAGCACTGATGCTAAGGGCAGGACACCCTGGAGCCAACCCCCATCTCTCTGTCTCTGAATTAAGAGTGTCTGAAGTATTTCCCAGGGGTTGGGAGGGGTGCAGAGTGCCAGGACTGCCCTGGCAGGGAAGACAATTTAGATCCAAAAAATCCAGTTTAGATCCACAGCATTTTAGATCCACGAGAACGCAGCGCACAGATGAGCCGGCCGCGCTCGCTGTGCGCCAGATGAGGCACGAAATCATCAGAGAGCCAAAGGATTTTGGACTGGGGTTTAATCTGTGCACTCAGAGGTGGTTTCTCTGTGAATTCCTCACTGATTGATTCTCCCTCGGCGCCCCAGCGGCAGTCCCTGATGGCAGATGCCTTGGACATCCTGGCAGGAAGACCTGGAGAGCGTGTGTGGACCAAAATACAGAAGGTAAGAGCCTGCAGCAAAGGGCAGTGGAGCAGCTTGCTCCTTGGGCAGCTGTCCTGGTTCAGGGCAAATTTGGGGAAAGAACCCCCAGAAGGGTTCCTTTGGGAAAGCAAATTCAATTGGCCCCTCCTCCTAACTAATTTGGGAAAG